CCACCAGTCAGTTCCTATTCTATTGATGTGTGGCCTTGAGGTTGCCCACTCTTCCCACGATGCTTTGCCTACCAGGAAGCAAAAAAAAGTTGGGAACTTGTTTAGGATCTCCCCATGGCAAACACACACACACACACACACACACACACACACACACACACACACACACACACACACACACACACACACACACACACACAGAGGGTATAGTTCTCCTCACCCTTGGCTACACTTCCCCTGTGTCCGTGTTGTTGCGTCAGCTGGAATTGTTGTCAGTGGAGCTACTTCACTCAAAAAGGATTCCTTGTACTTCATGCAAGCTCATATTTTCATAGCTTAACTGAATATTTATGAACATATATTTATACAGTGTGCATTTTAATATTGTAGAAGTAGGGCTTTTTGCTCCTATTCTCTTCATATCAATGGCTGATCTAAGGGGGCTTCTTTCCGATCAACTTTTGTTATGTATTCATCTAAAAAGCACCTGTCCTTAAACGTATTTGACATGATAGTGAATGAGGAGGCTTTGTTTGCACACGCTGAACTCATGTCAGACAGCCTTAGTTTTTTACTAGCCTTGTTAATATTGGTAATCTTAAGACTAAGGGTTCGATTCCCTCTCATGCATACCCCCATTTCTCCTGATATGTGGTTATTTTGAGGGGGATTTCGATGATAGCGTCAGTCGAATGTAACTGTAATTCATACTGGATTTACTGAAGAACACGTGGCGTTTTCCTCCCAGAGGAGTCGGATTAGGACGCTTCCTGCAGCGTTTCAGCACTTTACTAAACTAAGGGAAAATCTGTCCTTCAGTGAGATATAACGCAGTGAATTCAAGGCGTCTGTGCATCGCCACAGGCTGGTTTTTCTGATGTTTAGTAGCCTTCACTCGGAAGACGTTGGCTTGATTTTCAAACCTTCTCATCTATTATTGGAGGAGTATTTATTATTTAGCCTAAATACATTTATATATTACACACTTTATCTTATTTTCCGTGTCGTATAAATGGCTTTGTCTGTCTAGGAAGTCATTGGTAAACCTGGCGTGTGTAGTGACAGATGACTGTAATCTGCCTGCACACACAGTAATCTGATTACATGTAGTCATAGCTGTAATGTAGGATGCAAATTGTACATCTGTTCAGTGTGTGTCAGCCAGTTCTCCTTCCTGGGAGACACACAGCGTGTTGACAGAGAACAGCTCGAGTGGCTTATTCATATCTGGTTTTTCTATCTCACACACACACACACACACACACACACACACACACACACACACACACATACACACACACACACACGAGCCTGCACACTCCTGTGAAACCAGAGTCTCACATGCCTTTGGTTGTTTTGGCAGATTTCAGCATTTCTTCCGTTACGGGAAACAGCCAGCTCCGCCGTGGGTTGGGAGTTCAGATCCCTGCCTCGCTCAGAGGCAAACGCATTAATATAATGGCGTACGGCCCACCTGTTAACACACCAAACACGTTCTAGTGTGTGTGTGTGTGTGTGTGTGTGTGTGTGGAACCTACATGACCCTTATTGGCTGTTTTTATGATAATACACTTAATATCTTTAGGTTTCTTACTGTTTCTTAACCTCTTACTCTCCCCTCCTCATTACCAAAGCCCACATTTCTCTTTTTTCAGGGGGTGGGGGATCTTTAGGAGGATAGCAGTCCAACACATAACGGGTGCACACCATCTGGGGAAACTGGGGTCCTGAATATTAATTTTTGTCTTGAATCAGTAATGAATATTGTGGTTTGGTTGCGCCTCAATTCAAATATGTACGAGTGTTTAAGTGCCTTGTACATCATGATTAAAGTATACTATGGCCATTCCTATGCTCAATAATACCAATAAGTTGGATGAAACAGAGATTTTACCACCAAATAACGCCTCCAAAATACCACATTTTAGATAGCTAGACTTTAAAGAAGAATATAGAAAAATGCATGCTGTTATTTGGTACCAAACACTGAGATTTCTGCAAGAATTGCACTTTTTTGGGGCAATTAGATCGCGATGACTTCTCTAGTTTGTGATTGTAAAGTGCCACAAGGTTCATTTGATAAAGGGAGGTCAAGTTTGTTTTCCAAACCGTCTCACTGAATGAGATTTAATCATAACTGGATCCACAAGACGAGAGAATTAAATATTCCTATTGAACATTTAGAGAAAAGGTAATAACTAATTATACTGCATGAAAATAAGCATTGAATTAGGGGTTTCCATATTACCCATTGAAATATATCAAAGCATGGTAGACTATTTGCTGATTTTATACATGCAATAATTGAGAAAGTAATTGGTAGATTAATGGAGAATGAAAGTAAAAGCGACGGTAGTGCTTTGCCTCTGAAGTGAACAGGCGGCGTGTTTGCTAATGATTTGCTCGGCGAGTAGCGGGGAAATAATGAACGAGAAATAATAATGTCTGAAAGCAGTCGGAGGCAAATGAGTGTCACCATTACAATCAGTGCAAACTCACCAAGAGCAGCTTCTTAAAGCGAACACATGCCGAGCGCTGCACATGAAAGCACTTTGTTGTGTTATTGACATTGACCTATTTTACCGAGACACACACTCGCTAATGGAGCCTTTTCTTCTTTTGAGAGCCTGTTTTTACACAATTTCTGCTCTTCGAAACTCCCTGACTGGAGCAGAAGGACACGACTGTGCACTGTGTTGATTGGTGGTTTAAATCTAATGGACTAGTCGTGCACTTTCATGTTTCGAGCTGGATTGTCGGTCAGTTTATTACCTCCTATTTCAGGCATTAAAAGTACAAAACAATCAACAAGTTAATTATTGATCCATTATTCCTAATCATGAAATGCACACCAAGCCAATATTGAGGGTCCTCTGCGACATCAATAACCATCAGAACTTGATCATTACAAGTATTGCATGAATGTCAGAAAAGGATATGTGTTTCATCTTTTCTCTGTTTTATTTAACATGAATATATTTTGGTTTTGGACTGAGATAAAAACCAGCTTATATGCATTTGCTCTGCTCTGCTCTGCTCTACGTGTACAGTATATGGCTATGGGGGATTCACTTTTTTAAATAGTATTCAAATCAGTGGGATGTGTTACTGTAGGGATTTTATAAGCCCTGAAAACCAAAATCAAAGTCTCTTAAAATGATAAAAACCGGCCTATACTGTAGCCGAGTGTAAAGTATTCAGGTTAAGGGGTGTGTCTGGGTTAGGTTAATTTTTAAGGCCTTAAACGGGCTTGTTTTTAGTAAAAATTCATATTAGTTTAGTAAGTAAACCATTTGTTTTATTTAGTTTTAAAACTTTTTCTAAAACCTCGATTTAATGAAAGCCGTAGCCTCCTTTTTGTGTTTCTGCTCGGGGGAAATAAGGACTTTTATTGAATTAAAAAAATATATAGTAGTGTCACTATTGGCTTTATGAAAATATATAAATTGCCTTTCAAACCCCACGTATCCAGTACCTACATTCCCAAATGGTAAGGAATACGTTTGGGAGCGAGGCACGAGGCCGGCTGGCAGAGACACTTCACACATGCTCATCGATCAAAGTGTGTGTGTGTGTGTGTGTGTGCGTGTGTGTTTCACAGCAGATGAATGTGTGTGTGTGTGTGACGTCCAAAATGACGTCATGCAAACCCACCTCTTCTGCCAAACACCCTCTTAGACACACTCCTGTATTTTTAGTGTTTCGGCTGTGTATCACTACCTGTTTGTGTACATTAACTGTGTGTGTGTGTGTGTGTGTGTGTGTGTGGTGTGTGTGTGTGTGTGTGTGTGTGTGTGTGTGTGTGTGTGTGTGTGTGTGTGTGTGTGTGTGTGTGTGTGTGTGTGTGTGTGTGGGTGTGTGTGTGTGTGTGTGTGTGTGGTGTGTGTGTGTGTGTGTGTGTGTGTGTGTGTGTGTGTGTGTGTGTGTGTGTGTGTGTGTGTGTGTGTGTGTGTGATGTGTGTGTGTGTGTGTGTGTGTGTGTGTGTGTGTGTGTGTGTGTGTGTGTGTGTGTGTGTGTGGTGTGTGTGTGTGTGTGTGTGTGTGTGTGTGTGTGTGTGTGTGTGTGTGTGTGTGTGTGTGTGTGTGTGTGTGTGTGTGTGTGTGTGTGTGTGTGTGTGTGTGTGTGTGTGTGTGTGTGTGTGTGTGTGTGTGTGTGTGTGTGTGTGTGTGTGTGTGTGTGTGTGTGTGTGTGATCTCACAGTTGGGCTGGTGGAAATCTCTGTGTGTGTTTCCTGTTCATTGAGGCATAAAGGTGCAATCTGGATGTCTGACTGAGAGGACCTGCCTTACACGCACACACACACACCTCACCTCACACAGTAAACAGTGTTGTTACAGGTTCGTCTGGCTCTGTCGCTGAGCTCTATTTTAAGACCAAACCACACAAAAAAAGAACAGAATTAACTTTGCATTTTTTCTTGGAGGCTCTGTTGTTGTAAAATGACAGAACCTGGGATGATGGATGAAAGACACGCCCTCTCTGCGATGGGAATTATTTCTCTGGAGGCAGCACAGCACTGTAAATTGATATATGGGATCATTAGGGTTGACTTTCTCCCTCGAGGTATTTTGAAAACAAGGAATAATATCAACGTCCCTGTAGTGATACTTGAATACTAGACGCATGTACCCTTCTATATGTTTTGGAGGGGACCAATGGTTGTAAAACTTAAGTGGTTGCGTGTTATCGTGGAGACAGCTGAGCTCTAAAGCTGTTTCACTTTGTCGAAGCACAATATCCTTCCTTTCAGCCGCAGTTCTAGGGTTTCACAAAGGATTAGGGTTGGGCTTTTGTGTCATTGTTTATGCCTTGAATGTTTTGAGGTGTGTTTGCCGGGACTAACAAATGTCTCAGGGTGTCACACATTCAGCAGCTGCTTGCCACCACTTCATCTCCTCCTGTTTTTATTTAAATAAGGATCGAGTTGCTGCAATAATTAACCAATATTTAACCATCTAATGTCATTTTAAATATTTTAAATGCTGCTTTTTCTCCTCAGAACCCAGCTTCACGGTGACCCTTGAGGCCATCTCGAACCCCCAGATGACAGCTGAACCCACAGAGCTGGCGTGTCATGTGACCAACATTACCCATCTGCCCCTGGGAGGTCGCCTGGGGGTCACTTGGGGTCACACCACACTTCCTGGTACTTTTACCTCAACACAGCATTTAAAAACGTATCTCAGAATCATTAAAAGACCACAAATAACCTCTCTCGTCCAATCACACTCAGGTTTAGTGGGCGGGCCTCAGACCTCTAATTCCATTGGCTCTCTGGATGGCTATGGCAACCTGATGCCTGGAGCGATGTATTCTGATAGGCTGAAGAGCGGCGTGATGTCACTGACCAGAGTCCAGCCCGACACGTTCAAACTGCGATTCCTCCGAACACAGGTAAACATCGAGAGGGATTTAAGCAAAAAACGGAGACTATCAGAAGCCTGGGTTCCTCTGGTTGAGTTATGTTGGGAAAATACTGAATGTCCTCATCAAAGTACACATGATAACAAAGGTATCCCAACTGTAGCTGTGTGCAACTATTTACAAATACATGCACACTATAATTATCTTAATCCTCCTGATGTCCTCTGGTTTCTTATGTGTCGGGATAAGAGGTTATTTAACCTGCCACAAAAATAACATGGATGGTTCCTGTTGGGAAAATACTGAATGTCCTCTTCCAATATGAGTTCCACATGATAACAAAGGTATCCCAACTGTAGCTGTGTACATGACAGGATGTATGATTACCTAGAAGAGCATCAGGACTGTTTTAGGCATATGATAGCTATGTGATTAACATGATGATTCAGCCTCTATGGAGATAGACATATGACAAGCATGCTCATTTCTGACGTGGAGCTAATCTGAAGTAAACATTGAATACTGCTTTCTATTCCTCCATCTTGTGACTGTGTAACTCCCTCTCTTGGATATCAGCATGTGAAGGACACTGTTCAGGAACTAGTTGTACCAAATGCTCTGTATGTGACTTCCATTCTGGAGAGGATCATAAACACATGGATCCTGAGATTGAAGATCAAGCCGGTGACCAGTGATATTTTCCTAACAAGTTATTATTCTGATGTATATCACCGACTCCTTTCCCTCCCTGTAGGAGATCGATATGGGCCAGTATGTCTGCACGGTGTCAGCGTGGAGCGTGAGCAGCCAGGGCGACATGATGAACACGGGAGAGGCTCAGAGTGCACCTCTCGCTGTACGATGGGACACCAAACGTGAGGAAACTCTTTATTATCCACCATAGTTCTGTCCTGATCCTTCTCCCGTCTGCTGGATTAAACTCAGAATCATTGAGTCGTTGCTTTAACCTAGATTTTTTGATCTGGCCCACAAAGAATACACATTTTGACTTAATGAAGTTCCTTTTTAAAAGCATTACCCCACATAAAACACTAACACACTTCCAGCCGATCACAGTACCCCTGCTGTTGGGTTTTATGAATAAGCTCTAATGTCTCCTTATCATTTCCAGACGTAACAACAGGCCTCTTGTCTCACTCTCACACACTTCCTCTCCATCTCAGCCTCACTTTCTGACCTTGGTGACCTCAATTTAGCTAATTGTTGCATGATGTAACTGCAGTGTGTGTGTGTGTGTGTGTGTTGAATCAGAAGATCATAGTGTAATTGCTCATGACTTCCTGTCGGGGTTTCCCCCCCCCGTTGGACCCTCTGAAGGCTCGATTGATTATAGAGTTGTGTTGTTTTCAGGTCCCACTCTCAACGTCGTGGCCAAACGGCTCCGTGAAGCCTCGGTGGGCGGGGCTACTTTTGAGATGAGCTGCGCCGTGGCAACAGAGAACCTCGGGGAGGCGGGCTACTCGGTGCTCGTCCAATCACAGGACAGCCTGGAGGGCAATGTGAGGACCATCATGACCCTCAGCCCCGACAACGTCCTGCAGCACGGAGGGGCCACGGACCCCAACCGGAGGTACATTAACACATCTGAACTACAGAAGCACTGTCTATAATCCACTTTTTTTGTTATAATTGTATTGCAATGTAAACAAACTGTACTCTAAGTTCTATGTATGTTGTTTTATTGCTGGAGTTTTGGTTATTTATGCCGGAGTCTAGGTTATATTAAATATATCTATATATAACATTCATCTGTTTGCAACTTACTAATTATTTATCTAATATATCATATTCCAATTACTTGTATATAGACTCTCCTTGCACTACTTGTATTCTATTTTATTTTATTTACTTGCACTATTATCTGTTTTATTGTGTTGCTCTGTTGGAGGAGCCTGTGACCTAAGATTGTCATTGATATATCTACACTGTACGAATGACAATAATAGCCTTGAATCTCTATATTTTGAAATGTATTGACCCCCCTCTGTGTCTCCGTCCCCTCAGAGACAGTCTGGTTCTGACTAAGTCGGGTCCGGCAGAGTTTCGGTTTCGCCTGGCGGGCGTCCAGCTGTCCGACCGAGGTTTCTACTGGTGCGACATCACGGCCTGGACCAAGCAGCAGCCGGGCCACACCTGGACCAGAGCCACCAGCGCCGAGTCCAACAAGGTCAAGGTCGACTTCCAGGAGAACGGTGAGGCATCGGTCAAAGTAGTGTGTGTGTGTGTGTGTGTGTGTGTGTGTGTGTGTGTGTGTGTGTGTGTGTGTGTGTGTGTGTGTGTGTGTGTGTGTGTGTGTGTGGTGTGTGTGTGTGTGTGTGTGTTGTGTGTGTGTGTGGTGGTGTGTGTGTGTGTGTGTGTGTGTGTTGTGTGTGTGTGTGTGTGTGTGTGTGGTGTGTGTGTGTGTGTGTGTGTGTGTGTGGTGTGTGTGTGTGTGTGTGTGTGTGTGTGTGTGTGTGTGTGTGTTGTGTGTGTGTGTGTTTGTGTGTGTGTGTTTTGTGTGTTGTGTGTGTGTGTGTGTGTGTGTGTGTGTGGTGTGTGTGTGTGTGTGTGTGTGTGTGATGTGTGTGTGTGTGTGTGTGTGTGTGTGTGTGTGTGTGTGTGTGTGTGTGTGTGTGTGTGTGTGTGTGTGTGTGTGTGTGTGTGTGTGTGGTGTGTGTACTTACAAGGTCTTACGTTCTTCTGAAGGATTCTGGACATAACTCTGGGTAGTTCATGACCCAAGTGGCTCATGGGTACTGTAGTTTTAAGTGGCATACAACAGACGGAAAAAGTTATTTACATAGTTGAAGTTTAAACCTGTGTGGTATCATTAAAATGTTCCAGGAGGCTGCAGTGTTTGTGTGCGGAGGAACGTTGAGTTTACTCTCAAAAGGTAAACGTTCACATGTGGTATTCAGAGTGGGGAAAAACACTTAAACTGACCCACTTTGCTTTTCTGTTTAGTTTATATACGTCCACTTTGCTTTATTTGTACTTCTGCTTCCTGTTTCTGATTGTGGCTTATGAGTGACCCAATAGATTTGTCTTACTTGTTCCTAAATGAGTCTTTTCTTATTGAGACATTTGGTTAAAAAAAGGGCATAATACATGATTTTTGTTGGAAAATCTTTAATTTGGATACATTTGAGTCACTTTTATAACAATACGAGTAAAAAACTAGGGAATCATTATGTGTAATTTAACCTGAGTGTGTGTCAACAGATGGAAATATGTTACACACACATCATCCACCCACACAGTGCTAATGTTAACCAACATAAATTCTCTAAATGTGCAGAAATGACGACACACACACACACACACACACACACACACACACACACACACACACCTTAAGCCCTTTGACGCCCACCACAGTCACTGCCCTACTTAACTTTCTTTGATCTGACGGGGAAGTGGGAGTCAGGAGGAGGAAGAGGAGGGAGGTGAGGAGGAAGAGGAGGGAGGCGAAGGGAGGAAAAGGAGGAAGGTGAAGGTGCAAAGGTGTCGAGGACAAAGGAAAAGGGGAGAAAAGATTGGGGAGGAATATTGCGGAAGAGAGGAGAGTAATGAGACCATGCACAGAGAAAGTTGGAGATTGAAGGAAAGGGAATGTAACACAAACAAGAACTATAAAAGTATATCATTTTTAGTGGATCATTATATATTTGGGCTATCAGATTAATGTGCAGATGCTCCGAATATTGAAATACCAAAATGTGACCTTAAACAGACTCCGGCCCTTTAAGAGGAGTGCTGAGTCAGCAGTTATTAATGGTACATAAAATCGTATTGTGAAGGTCCTTGAGCATAAAAATCATAAATGAGCATAAGAAATATATAGTAACTAAGCAATAAGTAACACATTAATCAGATAAGACAATCAGTGGAATATAATCAGGTGGAGTTTGTTTCAAAACCTTGAGTGTTTATGTTAAAACGAATATATCGTTGGATTGACATTTGCCTCAAAAGTCTAGTAAAAGTCAATCTCTGCTGGAGGAATGTATAAATCTACCCTGGGGGGGGGGGTCGCCTTACACCCTCAGTTGTGTTTGATGGACGGCTTTAGCGTTTTGAAGCGTCTGAATGAGGTTTGTAGGAGGGAGAAGCTTTAATACCGTCGGAGCGAAGAAAGGGAGATGACAGCGAGGAGAGGAAGATGGACTGAAAACCATCTTGTGGGTTTCTCTGGGGAGGGCAGCAGCCCTTGAGCATTACTTCCTCTTTCTCTCTCCATCACTCGCTGTTTTCTCCTCCCCCGTTCTCTCCAGCATCCTTTCTCACTCTCTCACCCCCTCTGTCTCCCTCGCCCCTCCCTCCCTCTCTCTCTGGGACATCTTCAAAGTGAAGCCCTTTGGCCAATCAGCCAGCTGCAGAGATGTGCACCGCCGCCTTCCCTTTCTCTCTCTCTCTCTCTCTCTCTCTCTCTCTCTCTCTCTCTCTCTCTCTCTCTCTCTCTCTCTCTCTCTCTCTCTCTCTTTTCCACTCTGTGTGTGTGTTTCAGTTGTTCAAGTGTGTGTATCCGAGTCGAACATTTGGAGTTGACCCCACACAGAGAAACATGCACACTGACAGCGTTCAAGTTTCAAGCTGAGCAGTTTTCAAGAACCCCTTTTACTCGCCTTAGGGGGCGGAAGTTCTGCGCATTCAGTGTGTGTGTGGGGGGGTGTGTGTGTGTGTGTATGTGTGTTACGAGCACATCCACAAACTGGCAAGTGTCCCACGGTTCCAGCTGTATCTTGAATGTTTCAGCTTGTATCCTCTGCGATGCCGTATGTGCGAGTCTCACTGGCACATTTAGTGTTAAATAATTCAGTGTGTTTTATAGATGGACGGTAAAATGATATGGAGTGTAACAGAAATGTAAATTGTATTTGATGGCTTTTCATCTGAAACATATCCTAGACTATATTCCTTATTTTAACGCCCTGGATCTGATTTTCACTGTACAGTGTTGCTGTTTATTTTTTAAAGAAGACATATTCTGCTCATCTTCAGGATCATATCAGGATGTAGTGTCTCTACTGTGACATGTCTGCATGCTTTAATGTTCAAAAAGCTCTTTATGTTTCTCATACTGCCTGTGCTGCAGCACCTCTTTTCTGAAACCAGAGCCCAGTCTGCTCTGATTGGTTAGCTGGACAAAATCTTCTTTGTATAACGTGTTCTTGAGTGCTGCTGTCGGACCCAAGAAAGCCTGATTGACTCACTTTCAGCTCTCAGCGCTGTGACCCAGGAAAGATGTTTTTACATCCCTCCACATTGTGTCTCAGCAGCCAGAGTGCATGTATAATACAGGAGATTGTTTGCACAAGACATCACGAATGCAGCATTCTCGGGGAAACTGTCAGGATATCTTAAATACAATCAGAGATGTTTTGAAAGCACTGAAACCCACAGCGTGTTGAAAGCAGCTTCTACTCTGAAACATGAATGAATTTGTAGGTCAGAGTTGGTCTTTTACAGACCGCTGCTCTCTGTCTAAGAACAGCAGAGGGTTTGTCCTACAATCCGTCGGTCTCACACACTAAAAATGACATTGGGTCAGGAAGATAACTGAGGAATTTGGTGAACCCCCCCTCAACCTTAACCTTAAGTTTAACCATTGAGAAACACTGTTAGTCCAAAGCTCTACGATAAATATTAAAATGAGTCCGGCTTGAGTGGCTACTTTTAAAGAAGACATGTCAAGAAAGCAGGATATCTATTTGCTATATTTCCTCCATACTGACTGTTAGCTCGTCCAATGCTACAAATTGGCCGCATTGACTCTAATACTCTGCTTGCGTGGTATATTTTAAAATGAATAAAATTGCGTTTCACAACAAAACGGTGCAAAGCCAACCCGAAAACCAATACTTTTTTGGGAAGCTAACGAGAAGGCAAATCACCTTCAATCAACACGAATGTTTCTTAATTAGGGGAGTTAATATAAATCTACATCTTAAAGCAAAACAATGATGCATGACATTTTAGAATACCCCCAAAAAACAGGCAGTATTTCAGACGAACGTGTGTTTTTTTTGTGAGTAAAACCACTGAACACCGTATCCTGTAGCTACTTCAGCGCAATATAACTATTATACTATATCTGCGTTGTTTCTTGGTACTCTAGGAAAAAAGCAGACGATAATACTACGTTGAAATGCTAGGGGGTAGTTAAGTGTCCTGTTTCCCCTTCAGAGCTTAAATTCTTTAATCTATTTTTACCAATCTATTTTTATCCGCACCTCAGCCGATTCCTCCTTGAAGTTTTCAGCATATCGGAGGAAATCAAAGCAGTGTTCACCGTCTGAACACCATTTTCTCTCCCAGTAATCTCACTCTCCTCAGGGACCTGGAAGCAGCATTATTTTGATCTCAGTTATTTCCTAAAAAGTGTATTTGTTTGCTGTTGCAGGCCCCTCCTTCTCCGTGGCCATCCAATCGGACGGCACCAATGTGTATCCGTGGGAAACGGCCAAGATGGAGTGCTCTCTCAGCGTCTCCGGATCCTCCCCGAAGACCAGAGCGCACACAGGTACTTGTTTTCTCCGTAACACTCATAAATCAGATGCACACAAAGCTGTAACACACACTCCAACGACCGCTTTGTTCTTCTGCTTCGCTGCTCACCTGCCAACCTGTCGAGTGTGATGTGACTCCCGCGTCTCCAAAGGTTGCATAGATGAAAAACACTCTTATTACACACACACTCTAATTTCTCTCACTTTCCTTTGTTAGTGGTGCGACTGCAGCTTGAAATACTGGCTTTAGAATATAGTAACATCTCTATTTTACATTTAAAGCTAGCTTATCATTGTGAAAACTTGAACACAGAAAGCAATAATGGATACAAAATAACCTTTAAGTGGTACAGATGTCACTATACTCGGGGAAAGTGCAAGTACCCTCGAAATTGTACAGTACATCCCAGCTCTGAATATATACAAAATACATCTAAAATGCTTAAATTAATTATCTGCAATGCGACCTCCAGCACATATTCCCTTTTTTGGTTCTGCAGTAAATCCCATAACTATCTCTCCTCCCTCTCCTCCCTCAGCCTAAACATCCATCCATCTTCCTCCCTCCTCTTCCTCATCACTATTTAACTTATCACATGACATCATCCCCGAGCACCTCCCTCTGCCCATCTGTCACCCTCTCTCCCTCGTGTGTGTGTGTGTGTGTGTGTGTGTGTGTGTGTGTGTGTGTGTGTGTGTGTGTGTGTGTGTGTGTGTGTGTGTGTGTGTGTGTGTGTGTGTGTGTGTGTGTGTGTGTGTGTGTGTGTGTGTGTGTGTGTGTGTGTGTGTGTGTGTGTGTGTGTGTGTGTGTGTGTGTGTGTATGTGTGTGTGTGTGTGTGTGTGTGTGTGTGTGTGTGTGTGTGTGTGTGTGTGTGTGTGTGTGTGTGTGTGTGTGTGTGTGTGTGTGTGTGTGTGTGTGTGTGTGTGTGTGTGTGTGTGTGTGTGTGTGTGTGTGTGTGTGTGTGTGTGTGTGTGTGTGTGTGTGTGTGTGTGTGTGTAGGTGTGTGTGTGGGGCAGAGCGTCATGTTATTTCCTGCAGTGTTTGGACACACTGTTTGTGTGTCTTTGCACCTGTGTGTGTGTGTCTTTGCACCTGTGTGTGTGTCTTTGTGTGTGTGTAATGTATGCCCATACATCAACATAAATGTTTCCTCGCAGCAGTGCAGCGCTGCAGGCTTGCGATTTTTCTGGAGCGTTCTCTCGCAGACAGATGCACCATGGGAGAAATTCCCTCTCAGCATCACAGCTGATGGGGAAGTAACGCATGGACGTGCTCACTGTGGGGAGGAAGGAGTGATGCAGAAAGATACTGTATTATTGTGTAGCAGTGTTTTGAGAAGTTGCATTAGTTGTCAGCTTATAATAGGCACTTGTGGTCCTTAAAATAGAGAGGGAACTTATTTTGTAGATTAGAAGCTTTGGAACGGACTCATTTGTATATAAATGTAGTAAATAATCATCATGTTGACAAAGAAGTACGCTTAATTCAGTGAGGAACAGGGGCGTTATGTTCCTGTTATTGTTGTCCAATACAACTTGTTCTTTTGAGACAGAAAAGTGCCTCTAAATGAAAGGCTACACCCTGATAAATGTGAATTATTGTATCCTCTTCAGGGCTACAGTCACTGTGACTCATGTTGTCTCATGGTGTGTGTGTGTGACGTGTTTGTGTGTGTGTGTGTGTGATCCGGTTTCAACGTCTCTAGCTGACTCAGTGCTGTTCAGGAACACACCTTGGCAATAAAAGTGCATTTGTTGGCGGATGAATACGTATCTGGTGCTTTAGTGAGTATTTTTAGCTGCAGGACGGTGTGTTTGGATGGACTTAGAATTAACTACAGTGCCCAGGTGCATGGTGATGAAGATTAGGACATGAATGGAGCTCTTTGGTTTAAGACTGTCTTGTGTTAAGTGTGATGAGGTTTAGTAGTTTCATTAAGACATTTTATTGCTACCACTTTATTTAAGACGGATAAAAGCTTCACAAATAACAAGGTGATGTATTTCATGTTGTAGAAAAACGTTAAAATCTCTTAGACTTCTAAGTCTTTATTTCAGACCTTTAACCAAAAACACGACTTCAAGACAAAGAAACCAGAAATAAAAAAGTCATTTTATTTTGTAGGAAAAAAATAATCCTAAACTTGTGTTAACCTCAAAACTACATCAAACTATAAACCCACTCAAAAATCATTGACTTTGAGCGAAAATATGCTGACTCGTTTCTGCTAATCCTGTTTTCAGTATCTTTTTCTACCAGTTCTTCATCCTTTTAGAGACTGATTCAGTATTTCCACAGTGACTACAGAAAGTGACTCCCGGTGTCACGAGTGTGAGTGACACACAGGTAATGGATCAACAAAGGTGCGGCGCAACAGCCAACTTCCTCATGTGTTTTACTCACACACACACACACACACCCACACAATCTTTTACATTTGATTTGGGCGTGTCAGACTGAAGGTCGAAACAGTTATTCCAGTTGAGTAATATCAGCTGTGTCATAAAGAACGTTTGAACGTCTGTTGACGTGTGTATTGTTGGACAAATTGATAAGTAACTAACTAAACTTTTGTTTCTGTGGCTCAAAGGGACAGGGACCTGTGTGTGTGTGTGTGTGTGTGTGGGGGGGGGGGTGTGGGTGTGTGTGTGTGTGTTGTACATTCCTCATGGATGGCTGATAGCCCTCCTGTTGGAGCTTGTTTTATGAGGGGAATGGTGAATAATACTCGCACGTCAACCCTCTTATTTGTTTGTTAATTAGTGACTTACTCTTCTGCCTTTTTATTATTGAAGCTTTTGACAAATACCTAGTGAGTGTGTGACCTTACCTGAACCCTTTGCAGAGAAACGAAACTACTTTATGGTAACGACAAGTCTGAAACTCTTGTTGAACCACAGCAGATATGTGCATTATCACCTAGACACATTGATGACATAACATATTTGAGTTTTAGCCGTGTAATGTTTGGGAAATTTGTGTCCATTTTTATTCATATTTTTTAAAGTTTGTGACACTTGGCTAGTTCCTTCCAGCACATTGTATGTGATTTAAGGGGCGGGACATCTCTTAGCGGTTGACTAATCACAACAGAGCCGGCCAGCTAACCAATCAGAGCAGACTGGGCTCTGGTTTCAGACAGAGGGTGAAAAGAGGTGCTGCAGCACAGGCAGTATGAGAAAAATAAAGGGCTTTTTGAACCTTAAAGCATGGAGACATGTCCCAGTAGAGACACAAATACTAATACAAACCTTTAAGGCACTTTTTTACAGATCCCATGACACATTCCTCCCTATAACCAGCTGTAGTGAACATTATAGCTTGCAGAGGTTTGTTGTGAGGCTTTTAAATCTAGCTTATGTTTGAGGTTGCACTTAGCACTTCACACGTTGGTACCCTCAGCCAGCAGCTGCGTCCCTCAGAGCGTTCACACATGATCAACTGGCTCTCTATTCACTCTCAGACTTCAGGGCGTCCTTTCATCACTTCCTGTCTGGAGATGTCACACCAGTCAGTAGAAAAGACAGTTTATATATATTATTCACTTTTACTACATAATATTCAAAGAATATTCTAAAATTGGCACAACATTAAAAAACACTAATAGTGTGTGTGTGTGTGTCAGCATGTTTTAGGAGTGTGTGTGTGTGTGACCCTGTATTGTTTTGTTCTAATGTGTTATCTCAGCGTGCTGCTGCATGTGGACACACAGCATCTATTTCACTGTAATGACTGGCATGTTAGAGAGGTGTGGTGTGTGTGTTGTGTGTGTGTGTGTGTGTGTGTGTGTGGTGTGGTGTGGTGTGTGTGTGTGTGTGTGTGTGTGTGTGTGTTGTGTGTGTTGTGTGTGTGTGTGTGTGTGTGTGTGTGTGTGTGTGTGTGTGTGTGTGTGTGTGTGTGTGTGTGTGTGTGTGTGTGTGTGTGTGTGTGTGTGTGTGTGTGTGTGTGTGTGTGTGTGTGTGTGTGTGTGTGTGTGTGTGTGTGTGTGTGTGTGTGTGTGTGTGTGTGTGTTGTGTGTGTGTGTGTGTGTGTGTGTGTGTGTGTGTGTGTTGTGTGTATATAAAATCAGTGGTAGTGAGATGACATCACCATCTTCTTTCTGAGGCGCTCACACTGTGACAGTTTGGGTCTCTTCAACATTTCACTGTGATCCTCCAGGGAGAAAACAAAGCTTTTCTACACACACACACACACACACACACAGTGGAAGAAAATAAGGCATCATTTTGAGTTATTAGGTTATGTAGGTGTGGTGTAAAAAGATTGTTCTAAAAATATGCTTTTACATATTAAAAACTCCCTGTTCTCAAACGGCTGTATCAGTACGACTCCCTCTGCTCCGAGAGATGCTTAAGCTTCATTGTTTTGGTGTTACGGCACATTTATTTGGTTTAGTCTCAATGTTCTCACCAATGTTGTTTCCAGCTGCAGCAGCCAGCTGTTGGAGAGGCTCTTTAAAACCGACTATACGCTGAGGCATAACGGTAGCGACTAGCTGGTGAACAAAGTGGAGCTTTTAGCAGCTAATTTTATAATGGTGAATAAAGTGAATATTGATTTAATTGAATCAGGGGACCATGTCCATCTTGTTTCACTGCCACCATGGTTCAAATGTGAATTATATAAGAGGTTTTAAACAAGGTAATGTGATGCTCAAAAGCCCATTAGCTGACATTTTTGACAGAGCTTCTCAGCGTGACACTCACTCATGCTTTCTTACTTCCAGTATTTCTGCATTGGGAATAAATCAAATAATATCCATGCAGGTTAATAAACTCTAGGTCTGTCTTTTAAATGCAAACAGGATTTTTGCACCTGGTAACGTGATGCATATTTTTAAAAACAACTATGTGGTAAGCTTAATGATACATCCTTCTCTCCTCGTTTCCTCCCTCCCTCTTCTCCACTCTCACCAAATTACCCAGCTGTCTTTGCAGGGCCGACAGGCAGCCGTTAATTAGCCAATCTCACGCTCCGTTAGCCGGCCGCGGAGACAGAACGAGGTAGAGGAA